ATGCCCCCACCCTGTACAACACCGTGGTGCACCAGCCGCTTCCTCGGTGCCAGCCCTGGGCCAGACACGATGCTCCACTCACTCAGGTCACCATCCTGCTGGACGGCGCCTGCTTCGTGTCCAGGCAGCGCCTAAAGAAAAACTCACCTCTAGGCCTTGCTCCCTCTTCCTCCTCCTATTTCTTTTATTTTGCTCTCATTAACACAAGATGATGCAATGAGGAACAAACGCTGAGTTGAAAAAACGCCTAATACTGCCTCACTCTCCACTTTTAATTTTCCTCCACCATTCTATTTCTTTTTACATCATTTTCAAATAATTCTTCTTTCTCCTCTATTGAACTTCCGCAAAGACAGGCACACATGTAAATCAAGTTGCTGTGGCAGATCTTGACTGCATGTAACATCTCCTTTGAAGGAAGTACTTCCATTCATTATCTTGAAGTGAATGCAGCGTTGGTGCCAAAATGGAAACATCTGGAAACATCCACAATTCTCACTAGCTTTTTCTAATTCAGGGTTTTGAATAAACCTGAATAAAAAGCACCTCCAAAAAAGAAGTTTTGTCTTCTAATATCTTTACTATTGTCTACAGGCAAAGAGAGAGGAAAAGTATCTCGGGACATTCATTTCAAATAATTTCTTTCTTTTTTATCTCGATATTTTGCATCTATTTTACTGGATACATTTGAGACAAATGCCTGCTTGTAAAAGGTTTTCAGCTGCAGTGCAACTCATTGAATATTTCTGAATAGAAAAATATTATTAAAATGTGCAATTCTTGGCTCCAAATGCTTGTGAGACAATAAATACCAACTGCTTCTCCTGAGCTGCAATGATCTGTGGTTCTTCAGATAAGCTGATCAGAGTGCCCTGCACCTCACAGTCACAGGAGGAACCGGATTGTCTTTAGCTCACTGGGGATTTCTCTGACTGAATGCAATACTGACATGTTCCTTGCTCAGTCTTTTCCGGAGGGATTTCCCAAGGCAGAGCTTGGGAAGCAGGCCGGGTAGGGGTGTGGGGTGTGCAGGCACGTCAAAGTCTCGAGCCTTTGACCCGGCATCATCCCAACACACAGGGATGAGATTCCTTTCAAGCGCTCTGAAAACCAGCAACCAGCTGCAAGGGACCTTGGAAGCAGCTCCCGGAGGGAACGGGGTCCTTCCCTGTTGCGCGTGGCCAGCCTGCAGCTTGAACAGAGCTCTAAGTTCCTATCAAACACTAATTTCCAAGGTTATCCAGAATTTTGTCTCAGAATACCATGGAAATTTCTACTCCTTTGACTAGCATCAGTCCTGCTTATTTAAAGGTGGGAAACCAGGACGTACTGCGCGCTCTCCTCTTCACAAAAGCTGTTACTCAGCATGTGCCTTCCGCTTGTCCTCGTTGTCTCCAACTCTTTCCAACTTCTCTTTTGGTCTCTGGTCTCTCAGAGAACAGAGGAAAATGGAGGAGCTATTAGTGATACCAAAAAAAAAAAAATAGCAAAGCAGGGGAAAAGGAGAGAAATGAGGGCAGAAACAGAAGTTAAGAAATGGGGACCTTCATGCAGTAGAATGCAGATAGCAAAAGAATATGGGCAGGTTGTTCTTAGTAGCATTGCAATGCTCATCATAGCTGCGATTGCTCCTTTCCAGCCACTGCCCTGTCACAAGAAATAAATACAACTGAATGGCTGCAAATGCCCTTCTCTGGGTGCATGCTGCAGAAGCTGAGCACATTTTCAGAAGGGGACTTTGTAGACAACAGTGCACTGAAATGCACAAGTGAGAAGCTGGAGCCCATTTCAAAGCGGGCTCCAAAGGGTTCTGCCTGTCACTGGCCTCGGGACCCCAAGTTTGTTTATCAGGAGGTGACTGTTACCTGCAGCATGAGATGCCCTCAGGTTGTCACCTAAGCAGACAGGGGAGCTTGAAAGAGGCTCGAAAGGCTGCAGGGTTGTTTGCTTTCTTTTCACAGAAGCAAGGCGATGTCCAGAAGTCTGTCAGAAGGCACTGCTCACCTGGGTGGTAATACTTCCACATTATTTCTCCTTTGTTCTCTGGCAGTTCACATTTAGAAAAAGCGTTATTTGCTAAAGTAGAAACAGTCTTCACGTATCAGCAGCCATTTCCCAGTCTCCTGGAATTTGGAGTCACACTGCTGCTGCTTTCCCTAGCCAAGTCTTGAGACCCTGCAAGTGACCCCTTCCCCAACAGGAGCCAACTCTGTGACACTTGGACATATCGGAGACATATCAGGGATGTGGGCTCTGCTCGTACAGCAGCACAAGCGACAGAATCAGAGCATTTCAAGAAGTTACTGCCGCCAGCCAGGACGTGGTAACTGCCCAAAAGGCCACTGAATAGAAGAGCTTAATTCTCTTTCTTCTCCCCATTAAGCTTAAAGACGCAGATAATACTTGAAAGTCGCCTATTTTGCCTTGCTGCTGAGGCCTGCTAAGAGCATCTCTGGCAGTCAGCTCCTGGATACCAGGCCAGCAATGTGGCTGCTTCTGCACAGAGCCCTAAGTCAGTCCCAGCAGGCAACAGCTAGTCCCCACCCAGTGAAGACCAATACAGGGACATGCAGTTAGTAGCCAGAGTTGTTGGACTAGCTGGGGCTGCTACACGCACTCTTGAGTGCTTCCGAAACCAGGGTCTCTTCCTCTGTTTTCATTTTTATATAATATACATTTCATAAGAAAAGCAGACACAGGAAGGAAAGCTCAGGAATGGAAACATTTCCAACAGTCCCTTCAGCCAAAGGTAATATTATAGCAGAAGTCATTCTTACAGCAGGAACAGGGCATGAACGCTTAGAGATCAAGCCAGCTCAGAGGCACACAGGGCTAGGAAAGCACACGTGCTCTAGGTGTCCCTGCTGCAGCAGAGGGGTTGGACTAGATGATCTCTAGAGCTCCCTTCCAACCTTAAGCATTCTGTGATTCTGTGTGATTCTGTGCTGCTACACAAACCTGCAAAGCAGCCCGAGAAAAGAGCGGCCAAAAACATTAGCCCTGGTGCCTACTGAAAGCTGCAACGTGCAGCAGCAGCCCTGGCTCCTCAGAGTCCAATGCCCCACACGGTGCTGGGGCCGGAGGAGAGCCGGGGAGGGCACGTTCAAGGGAAAACTTGAGTGTGGGTGGACGTCACTGGACCTACGTCTGTTTGATGGCAAGGGAACAAGAAGTTTCACGCTGTTTTTCTTCTTGACTATACGCAGCACTCTTTGCCCAAGCGTTTTCATGTGAGGGTTCTGCAGGTCTGTACTTAATGCTTCAGGAGAAAGCTGTGATTTTGAAGGACAAAGCTTTTTTCTTCTTCTTTTGCTAAATGGCATATACAGGAAATTGAAAAACTCAAATCTCAAGAGAGTAATTAAGGAAAAGCAAAACAGTATCTGGTAGCAGCTACCATAATACTGCATTATGGCATTGTAATTTACAGACAAAAAAACATAAAGGGAAGGCTCAAACTAGAGCACACACAAGGTCTAGCAGGTAAATTCTCTTTTGGGTATCATAAGCACAGAATTTTCCAAAGCAATGTGTGCATGCAAAACACATAAACACGCTGGGAGAAAATCCTGACTCACCTTGTGCCAAGGAGGCTCCCAATTAGAAAATGCCTTGAGCATCAAAGCAAATTTCTAAACATTCCCTCAAAAACATTTTGAGTTAGAGAAGAACTTCAGGAGCTAACAAAAGTATCACCAAGGCAAATGAGCAAAGGGAATAATGCCAGCAGACACAGCATATAATCACTTTGGGTTAGGGTTTTTTTTTGTTTGTTTGGTCGACAGTGAAAATTTCTCCAGCAAATTTAACATCAAGGGAAAACTCTAAAAGAGAAAACAGCTGAAGTCACAAATTATCACAGCACTTACTGAATTGAACTTGCTGCTGTACTAGGTCTATAGCCTAGTGAATTGATGCAACACAGTAAACTTTTTCTCCATTAAAAAAGTTTCACAAGTTGCCTTTGCAATTTGGAAACCTCAGTGTTATCCTGCAAATAGTAGGACAAGGTAAATCTAGTTTAACAACCCCAACAGTAAGCACAAGACTAAAGTTTTCTGCTACCTACTTGTTTACAGATGGTTTTCCAGTCATTACTGTAAACTTCTCACATTTAAGATTTTTTGAATTATTTTACACAAAAATAAATGCTAATGTCATTTGTCAGATATACCAATGATATATTACCAAAAAAGGGTGAATTAATATGAGTGAGACTGACAGTTATTAGCTGCAGACTCAAAATACTGTCTCTCTCTAGTACCATCTTCAGTCCATTTCTAATTAGTAGTGTAGCGCTGCTTGGATTGAATTCCAATATTTACATTAATGTTGTATAGTGTAATATTCTGCACAACAGCATAAGACCAAATTTTACCACTGGGACACAGATTTCTAGAATTAGCAGTTTTATTTAGCCCTAGGCGAGCAAGTGCTATTAGCAAGACACAGCAGTAAGGACGGCCTTCTCAGTGCTGGCTAGGAGAGGAGGGCAAAACAAAATAAAAGCAGGATAAAAGAAATCCACTAATTCCTATGCTTCTGAGACAGGGAGGAAAACAGAGAAAATGTTTAAGTGTTGAGAGAAATTTTGAAAGCTGTAAGACAGAGGTAACAAGTTAAAGCCACATGGGGACCACACTAGTCTCCACATAGCTGCGTAACTGGATGGAGCAATAGGTGTCCCTGCTTCAGCAGGGGGCTGGACTAGATGATCTCTAGAGGTCCCTGCCAACCTCAACCACTCTGTGATTCTGTGAAAGCAGGTGCTCACACAGCCCATCGCGCTGCTGCGCTCCCAGCTCCATCCCAACCACGTCCCGGCTCCAGGTGAGGATGAGGCCAGGTAGGCACCATATCCTCTGCTGTCCTGTCTGGAGTTCAAATTTAGAAAGATGACATCACCCTTCTTAGAAATGTCTTCCCACTCTACACAGCGGCTCACCTAAATACACACACACACACACGCATCCCAGTTTCCTTTCAGCAGAATGCCTTACCTCATTCCTTCTGTAGACCTGTTGTGGTAGTTGCGGTAGAGCTGGGGAACGCCCAGCATGGCCTCGGTGAAGACGGCCAGGAAGCCCAGCGTCTCGACGAAGAGGGATGAGTCGAGCCAGAGGTAAGTGATGTAACCTGTCACCCCGGTGAAGGTCAGGACGCACTGCACGTAGTCTGTAAACTTGCTCCAATGCCAAAAATAGTTCAAGTCAAAATCTGCAACAGAATAGGAAAGGAGGAAAAATAAGAGGCTTTTTGGCCAACTTTGCTCATCCAATCTCACCCAAAGTTTACCTCGATAGAACAGAGAACTGTGAAGCATGAGGGGCTGTCAGTCTTTGGGGATGGAGGAGAAGTGGAAAATAAAAGGATTTATAAAGTATTTATTTTTACTTATTTATATGTGTAGATATATATACACACACATAACATATACATACATATACACACACATACACAGGGAATACTTGACATATAAAACACTTTTTGTGAAAGCTTTCAATTCAGGGACATTAAAACATACATTTACAAACTACCAATGCACTTCCCGAACTGACTTCTAAGGAGAAACCGCTGACCTTGGGGTCCAGGGTCCCTCCAACAGAGTCAGCGCAGCGGGTGCCTCACGAAGCGCCCTCCTCCGCACGACCCCGGCAGCGCCTCAGCTGAGGCAGCGCTCTCGGCATCGTTACCTCCACCCTCAGGCCACCTCAGGCTGCCTGGAAAGCCACAAAGGGCGAGTGCAGCAGGCTGGGCTTGCCGGAGGGAGGTCCAGACCGAGGAGATGCCCCCAAGGGCACGGCCAGGCTGCAGCACCTCTCGCTCACGGGCACGGCGCACGCAGCTCCCTCCTCTGCCGGCTCCATCTGGCGCAGGGAACAAGCCCCTCTTTTACATCTATGAACAAGCCACCTCAGGAGGGAACACGGCGCTCTCGGGAACGCGGCGCTCCCGGGAACGCTGCTTGCTTGACACCCTCCCAGCACGCTTACGGGAGACATGCAGCCATCCCACCAATGAATAATAAGGTATATACAGCGGCAATCAGCTTACAGCAAGGTAGCTGCATCACTTTCAGAAGCAAGAAGATTGAAGCAACTTGCAGCTTCACCTGTTCTCTTGTAGCTGCTGTAAGAGTCTTCCGGTCTTAAAAGCATTTTGAAGCTGAAAACACCTACCTTGGACCACTGGGTTCTGGACATCATCAAGACAACCACAGGAACCATAGGAATATTTATATATCTATATCAGGAATATCTAACAGGAATATTCAAACCAGCCCAAACATACACAGCACACTATCAGGTCACTAGGATTTTTCTGGCACAGCCTCCACAGGGCAAGTACACACACAAAAAAATCTCTGCGGTTAATACAGGCAATCAATACACGGACCTCAGCGGACTTGCACTAACAACAAATTCAGTTAAATGTGGGACCAAAATATTCTACAGGTATTTCGGTGCACCAGGTTGCATAGAGAGACTAAACAAGAGCTTTATTTTCTGCACCTTCTGACACTAAAATCATTATCACTCTGGCCCTTGGACATTCACATCTGCTAACCTGTTTACAAAATAATTTAAAAAAATAAAATTAAAAACATTCTGAAAATCTGTGCCTCAAGATAACTGCTATATCACTTTACTTCGCCACGCAAAGAGGAGGATAAGAACAGCCGCAGGCCATCCCCAACCTGCAGCATGGTGGTTTTTGTAGCATTATCACCCCCTCGGCTATCACTCCTTCAGCTATCACTCAGGACTAAATTAAGTGTATAAAAATAAGGGAAAAGGGGGAGCCCAGGAGAGCCACAATCACAAATGCAGGAAGTATGTTATTAATTTTCATTTATCCTTTTGGCATTTGCTGGAGAGAAGGACAAACAGCATCAGTGAGAACCTGTGACAGGGCGATAAGGAATAAGAGACACCCAAACTTTCCAATTCTTCCACTGCACCTGACCTACAGCTGCACCAGATAACATGGCAGGAGAGAGGACAAGGCAAATTCATCCGAATTTTGCCATGATACCCTTAGCTTCATGAACAGTACCAAAGAACCCAATGCAACAGATACTACAGAGGAGAGAAAATTATAAACCTGCAGAAGAAAAGTGGATGAAGACAGAGAAAGCTGGCAAAGTCACAGGATGTTTCAAAAACCAATCTCCATTCTGGAAAAGAATTGCTGCTAACAGCTTTTAAGTAGGACATAATAGTTACTTTAACCAAATTCTTTCTTTTAATGATGAAAATGTTTTCACATAGCCTTTGATTCCTCTAGAGTCACACTAATACATTGGCTTTCAACCCTTAAAAAGAAGATGATTTCTTTTAATTCAGAGCTGCTGCATATTGAATGTGCTGGAAAACCTGAATTACCTTCCAACAAGGGTCATTCACCCCAGGACCTGTCAGGTAGGACCCGTCTCCCAGCAATACTCGCACATCAGCAACTAGACTCCAGTACCAACACAATC